CGTTGTACAGTTGTCAAAACTCATGGAATGTACAACATCAAGAGTGAACTCTATGTACACTACGGACTTTGAGTGATAATGATGTGTCAGTATTGGTTCATCAATTGTAACATATATTTGGGTGGGATGTTGCTAGTGGGGAAGAATGGGTGTGTGTAGGGGAACTCTACTTTCTGCTCAGTTTTGCTGTGCATCCAAAATTGCTCTAAAAAATACAACTTATTTAGAAGCCAACAAATTTAATAGATATTTTAATAAACTAGGTTCACATGGATCTTCCTGGTTATGGCCTTAATCTCTATTTAAAGAATATTGACCAATATTGCACATTATGAGGCTATTACTTAAAGATAATTCTGATATAAAATAATATAACCCCCATGGTATGGGCACTTTGGAAAACAGTTTGACAGTTTCTTAAAAAACTGTATAACATACCCTTACTATAAAACCCAGCAATCACAATCCTTGGTATTATGCCTTTTCCAGAATGTCACATAGTATGTAGCCTTTTCAGATTGGCTTCTTTATTTAGTAATACGCATTTAAGGTTTCTCTATGTATTTTTAATTTGGCTTGATAGATCATTTCTTTTTGACACTGAATATTCCACTGTCTGAATATACTCTATCCATTCACCTACTGAAGAACATCTTGGTTGCTTTTAAGTTGTGACAACTTTAAATAAAGCTGCTATAAAAATTTATGTGCAGGTTTTTGTGTGTTTATAAGATTTCAACTCATTTAGATGAATGGGGGAGCATTCTTTTTACAAAAGACTTCGTTACAGGAGTCCAGTTTCATAAGTAAACCTTTCTACTTGGTATTATGTGTTGTCATATCTACATGTTAGGTCGAAAAAAAAACACACAGCTAAACCAGAACTGAGCAGTTCTGTTTAACTGTAAGCTACTTTGCATATTGTTACTAAATGATCACCTATAAATCAGGGTAAATTTGACCAAATCCAAAATACAGCACCGTGGTGACAATACTCAGGTAAGAGACTCTTCTCCAGAGTGGCCCATGGGGGAGAATAAGAATATGATTTATCGGAAAATCCCTAGGTACTGTTGGTAAATGATGAATTTTGTCAGCTACCTGATTATTCTATTATCTTTATCAATTATGCCTATATGTTAAAAGATTCAGATTTTGCTGGTGACTAATTCATCTGGAGTAGTGGAAAGCGTTTTGGTTTGCAAGTCAAGAGACCTAGGGTCTGACCCCTGCTCTGCAACTAGCTCTGCAACCTTAGCCAAGTTACATCCCCTGTGGGATTGGGTAAGAGGATTTCTAAGGTTCCTCCATCCCTGACTTTCCATAACTCAATTATAGGTGTAGTTGTAGCTTTGTTTCTCACATGCTAGGTATTTTTAATGTCTCTGCAAGTTGAAGCTTTTATGCTCAGCAGAGCATCCAAAAATCTATTTAGAATGTTATCATTAAGACCTCATTTATTTCCCAGAAGAGCTCTAGGACAGAAACCGGAGGCTTTTCCAAGATAGGTGAATTTGTTAGCTGTGCATGAATCTGGAACTGCCAGACCCCAGCACTAATAGTCTGTGTTGCTTTCTTTTAAAAACTACCTAGTTTCTACAAACATGTCCAGCTTCCACTAGACTTCCTTGATCATTACTGCATTTTGCATTCTATCACTCCATTGTGTTGTAGTTAAATGTTCTTTGAATAAAAGGTGATCATGTTTAACTGCTACTACATTGAGTAGTAGTGAGCTTTTGGTATACCTTCCTGAAGCAAGCACTGATGAGTGAACTTTTTGGAAATGCTCAATAGAAAAGCTTCTCATGGGTGTGTCTCCAGACACAAGGCTCTATTTCCCAGGATAAAGCAAAGTCTTGTTAAATCCTAGACATTTCTAATTACCTGTGGCATATGCAGATTATTCAGATTTCATGAGTCAAGGTTTACGATAGTATTAAATGATCTGTCAGAATAAAACCATTCTCAAAAAGTTTGTGTGTGTGATTGGCTTTGATGGCATCTGCCTTATGTTTGGTATCCTGTTGTGTCACTTCTGGCTTGTCAGCCATAGGCAGAAACAAGGCTCTGTTGTCCTCAGAAATGTAGAAATACGGGTTCCATACTCATTGTGCCATCGTTTTGTAGCTTCTGCCATACTTGTTCTTTATCTACTCTCTACTCTCTATCTCTGGCTTGGGAATTTCCTAACCATTTTCTCTCGGCAACTTTTTCTTTTTGACACAATGTTGGCTAGTTTTTAATCTCCCAGAGATTTTTGTTTTACGTTAGTTATTTCAGGTCATTTGGTCAGTAATTAGGAATCTTTCACTTCCTGTTTCTCTGTTTTGATTTTTCACTGGACCTATCACACTTATTTCATTTCCCCACTCCCACCCCCCTCTTAGGAGGAGTTTTTCCTGGCATTTACCCCTTTTCCAGCCTGTCTCCACATGATTTATTATAATCCTCCTTAACCCTTAACCCCCACCCCGTGCCCTTTCTGTTTCCATAGTCATTTGTCCTTCAATAGCCACACTAGATAGGCTAGGCTTTTTCACAGGAACTGTACTACATTTTTTCACACTTGAATTGTGGTGCGTAGAGACTGCTCCACCCATTACATAGTGCAGCCTGCAGAGTTTTTGCTCCCCTCAGGTAGGGAAACAAGTGACAATGTTATCTAATCCTACCTATAAGCATTAGGGCTGAGGATATGTTTTTATTGATGAGAGAGAGAGAGAGATAGATGTGAGAGAGAAACATGGATTGCCGCAACTGGGGATCGAACCCACAACGTAGGTATGTGCCCTTACCCAGAATTAAACCTGAAACCTATTGGTGTACAGAATGATACTCCAACCAACTGAGCCACCTGGCTAGGGCATTACAGTGAATTTTTAAGAGTAAATGATTCCTTTTTTATTTTTGGATTTGCCTCTAGCACATCAGGTATTATTTAGAAAGGCTATGCTGTGAGGTGGCATGATCATTAACTAGTTTGTAATTTCTCCAATGTGTATTTTAAATATTGTGGTATTTCAGTGTTTCCCAAACGTCAGTTATTTGCATACACCTTCACAGTCTTCATTTTCTGTTTCACCTGTACGGGTATTTACTATTTTTCTTCAAACCAATTCACATTTTTTACTCAAGTAGATTTTATTTTTAAAATTTGTATCATACTATAAATGTGAAATCAGTTTAATTCACAATAAATAGACATGAAGAGTTAAATATTATTAGAGCCTAGCTAAAAAGTACCGCTTGTTGAAGGCTTCCATCTGAGGAGGATCAGAAAGCCTCTGGGAGTGTAGGAGACACTATCACCAGACTAACACTAGATCTATGTAATCATTGGAACTGGAAGAGAATTGAAAGGCAGTAATTTTCTCACCAGGTGAGTCAGTATTATTTCATGCTGTTTCTGTGCAGCATCAAAAATCCTCCCTCTTGCCCAGCTGGTTTGGCTCTGTGGATAGAGCGTTGGCCTGTGGACGGAAGGATTCCGGGTTCGATTCCGGTCAGGGGCACATGCCCAGGTTGTGGGCTCGATGCTCAGTGTGGGGCATGCAGAAGGCACCAATCAATGTTTCTCTCTCATCACTGATGTTTCTAACTCTCCCTTCCTCTCTGAAATCAATAAAAATATATATTTTTTAAAAATCCTCCCTCTTACTACCCACAGAATATTGTAACCCTGTCTAGTTTTCAGAATGAGCTCAAAAACTATACATCAAAGCAGAAAAGTCTTTAAAACATTGATCTCTGAGAAAACTGACGATATTTGCTCTCCTTGGATTTGCCCAAATTAATAAACTTGGTTATGTTTCCAGGTTAACAAAGAAATGATGGACAATAGATGTTACTCTAATCTGCCAGAAAAAGTGCCTGTCTTCCCTGATTCTGCCCACCTGCCGCTGAGCAGGTCCTTCTGTCTGGACCCCATGGTCACTCTCCACTTGTACCCCGAGGCCCCGGTGCCATCCCCTTACTTTGAAGACCTGCCGTTGCTGCCCTTTTCCAGTGATTCGCTGGTCCTGGAAAATTACAGTGAGCCCTGCCCCTTCTCCTTCCCAATGCCTTATCCAAATTACAGGAGGTGCGACTACTCCTACGGGCCCTCCTTTATCCGGAAAAGGAATGAACGGGAAAGGCAGCGTGTGAAGTGTGTCAACGAAGGCTATGCCCAGCTCCGACATCACCTGCCGGAGGAGTACCTGGAGAAGCGACTCAGCAAAGTGGAAACCCTCAGAGCTGCAATCAAGTACATTCATTACCTGCAGTCTCTCCTGCACCCTGATAAGGCCGAGACAGAGAACAACCCTGGCAAAGGTCCCACCATCACAGCAACTGCCAGCCGCCACACGGACCCCATTTTTAGAATCATTTGACTCAGTGGTTCCAAATAGAAACAATATCACAAAATGGGGTTTCATAGCGTCATGCAGTTTTCCCTAAATATAATTTCTGTGTGGACAGGTAATAGCTCGGATTAACCTGTGCTGGATATTTCTTACCTGGGTTTCAGGTGCACTAAACATCATCTTCTCTAGATTGAGAAGATGCTTCTTAAGCTCTTTAGGGGAGCCGGAGTCCCAGGATTCTCTATACTTCTCACTTTGCCCTTCTCACACCCTTCGCCAGAGTCTCAGCCGTGAGAAACTTACAAGCATTGTGTGAGGAATGGTTCCTGAACACTAGTAGTGCACTGTGCTAACCCTCATGCTAATAAGCAAATACAACGAACTCCCTTGATTTGTCAAAGTTTGGTGTTTTTTATGATTTGGGGTTGACAATAAATCTATGCCTTCATGTCATGATGGGGAAGTGTCGCAGATCTGTGGCAAAAATAGTTAACAAAACCTTGTCATTTCAAGTTTTTTTCAGAGTCATCTTTTTCCTGCACAGAGAATACTTCCTTAGGCAGCTTAGTGTAGAGGGTAAGAGGTCAAGCTGTGGAATCAAACTGCTTCAATTTAAACTGACTCTGCAGCTTCCTCTCCATGTCTCAGCTCTTCATCCACAGAATGAGAATAAAAAGAATAGCAACTACCCAGTACGTTTATTATGAGGGTTAACAGGTTAGCAGTGCCTGGCACGTAGTAAGTATTTATAACCTTTGTTATTGGTGTCATTATTATTATCCTCCTCTTGTTTTGTCCATAGCATCTCCATTCTCCGGGTTCTTTAAGCCAGAAAACCTGCAGCTGCCTTCACCCCTGGGAAGGATATTCGCTGCCTCATATCTTGGAGTTTGCCTTCAGAATGTCTGTTCCTCTTCCCATGACTAGGCTCAGCTCTTCCTTCTCCCTTAGCTCCCAGGTCCCATCTGTCACCAGGCTCAGTCAGGACTTCCAGTACACTGTCACACTCATCTCCACTGTGATTCTCCATGACGTCTTCCCACCCCAGCCATTACTTGCTTCTTTGTTTTGTATACACATTTCTGTGCGGTTTCTCTCCTGCTATCCTTACACGCCATTACACACTCCTCTGTCTTCAGTAGACCATAAGCTCCTTGAAGATAGGGACCAGGCTTACTCTTCCTGTTCTCTTAGCACCCAGCAAAGAGCCTCAAGTCAGGCAGGTGTTGTCAGGAAATATTCGGTGTTACTATTTTCCTCTTCCTACCCTGTTAGGTGTCTGGGTAACTGTTAACAGTCTCCTCCTCGGCCTCCCAGGCTCTGTTTTCAACTGGCTGCATCCTCTGTTGTTCTTCCTTAAAGCATTATATGCCACTTCGTTGCTCAAACCCTAGGACAACAGCCTGTTGACTACCACGTTTTTTTGTTTTTGTTTTTTTGTTTTTTGTTTGCTTGGTTTTCAAGGCGCCCACCAATCTCGCCCCTTCCCAAATATCCACACCTTGATTTTTCCCATGAAACCCATTCCTACCCCAAAAAGAAAGATAGTTTTGCAAGTGCATCCTTCCCCGTTAGCTCTTGCTTCCTACCTAAATTGGAAGAGTCCCCTATGGAAATCCTACCTGTCTTATTTAGGAATCCTCCTCTCACTGCCAGGGACTTCACTGGTTTTTCTTGGATTCTAACTTTGTGTAGCAAAGACCTCAGCCTTTAGGTATGTAGTCCTGGATAACAGTCATTCTGACTATTAAGTTACGCTCTGTGAGAGCAGTCATCGGGTAGGATGCTTTGGGCTGTAAGGAAGAAAAAAATCCAATCCAGATTGGTACAATCAGTAAAGGCTCGTGTAACTGAAGCTTCTCCTAAGGCTGCCCTAAGGCCAAGCTCAACCGTCACCCATCACCTGTCTTCTTTAGGTCTACCCCTTGTCTTCCTCTGGGAAGTTTCAGTGTCCCAGAAAGGCTGTCGGGAGCTCCCAGAACCACACACTTCCTTATTACTTATAGTAGGAAAGAGAGTCTATAACCCAGGGTGTTCCCAGCAAAAGTCCGGAGCGCCCCGGGAACATGTCTATGCCTAGCCAGTCCCTGCAGCCAGGGGGACGGGATGTGCTGATTGACTTGTTCCACCTGTGGAGCTGGGGGTACCTTCAGCCTCTCCTAACCACTTGGGCCTCAAGTAGAGACAGGAACTGGTGGCACAGGGGAATAGTAATGTGGGAGAGACACCCCCGAATGTCCCTATGTGCTGTTTTGGTATTCTCCACGGAACACTGCTGGGCACACAACGGTGCCCAAGGACTGACTGTCAGGTGCCTCAAAATACCAGCCTCTCCCCTGGATGTTCATGAGAGCAGAAGCTAGGATTCTGTTGCTCTGATCCCCGCTGTCCTCTCCTGCCACCCCAAGTGGTCACCTCACCTCTGCTTCTCACAGAGTCCTGTCTGTTACAGACAGACGTGCCCACACCTTTGTTACTTTGTTTTAAACTAGGGACAAATTCTATGTGAGAGTCCCTAGTCCAGCCAGTGGCTCCCCCACCCGGCCTCCTGCTGTCTGAGGGTCAGCCCCCTCCCTCGCAAGGCTCCCCTGGGAACCCTGAGGGTTTCCCACTATGGCTGGCTCTTCTGGGCAGTGGGCAAGCCTCGGCTTTTGGGAATTGAAGCTACAATGACCTTTCTCTCCAATACCCTCCTCACCCCCTCTTCAAAGAGAAAGATGGAGAATAACACCCCTGCCCCTTCTCCCCGCACCTGCCTTCCAAGGCCCCCTGTCACTCCTCTGCACATGCCCAGTACACTCAGCCCACAGTGTTCCCCTGGCTCACACCCATGGCAACCTGCTTGGCAACCCAGAGTCAGTTGGGCTGAGGCCTGAGTTCAACTGTCAAAAGGGGCCGAGGCCGAGGTGGAGGAGGCTGGGCTGTGGGTAAGTCTGCCTGTGGGTTCAGACCTGTGGACTAGAGCAGGGCAGACCCTCATGGGCTCTGCTGGGCAGGGGCAGCACGGTTGTGGGCCCCGAGTCACAGCTGCTGCCTCTAAGCAAGTAGGGAGCCCACAGCCCTGGGATCTCGGCGGGCCTGGGGCTGAGTTGGTCCTACAGGTGACTGGGTCGGGACGGGAGTCTGGCTTGGGCTGGGGGTCAGTTTGTCATCAGGGTTAGGATTTGTGAAGCGAACTATGGCCTTACCCTCAGGAATCCCCTACACGGGAGGAGGGGGAGGAAAAACTAGCGTATGCATTGAGCTACGTACATGCCAGGTGCTTTCCATGTACTCTCTCCTGAGCGGTAACAAGCACACAGGTGAGGAGAGCACGCGGGCCGCAGGCTGTGAAGGGTTTAAAGCTGGCTTCTCTAAAATCACAGCTCTTGCTCTCTCCTGAACTGAGGTTCCCGAGGACATCCTGAGCGTCTGTGGGAGCGAGTGCGGCCCCGGAGAGGCCGCTGGGCCCTGGCCACTAACCGCTCACCTTGCCCAAGCCCATGTCCTCTGCTGGGCTGTGGTGCTGCAACTCAGACAACCGGAGTGCTTGTTCTAGGTGGTGTCTCCGAAGGCCATGGAATCCTCCGCAGAGCCTGGGGGGCCTCTGCCCAAGTACTGCAGCGTGGCCACCACCCTGGAGGCCCCCGCCTGGGCCGGCGCTGCTCCTCCCTGGGGCCTGTCCTTCAGCTGCCCCTTTGCCCTCCAAGCACCCTGGCTCACCTGGCACAGCCCTCTCACCAGGTACCGATCTCTGCCCCTCTCGAAGTGGTGTGCACCTTCCTTTCCTTCTCTGTCCTGTGGCTCTAGATCAGTGGTTCTCAACCTTCTGGCCCTTTAAACACAGTTCCTCATGTTGTGACCCAACCGTAAAATTATTTTCGTTGCTACTTCATAACTGTAATGTTGCTACTGTTACGAATAGTAATGTAAATATCTGATATGCAGGATGGTCTTTGGCGACCCCTGTGAAAGGTTCGTTCGACTGCCAAAGGGGTCGTGACCCACAGGTTGAGAACCACTGCTCTAGATAGTGAACCGTGAGGGGAGAATGAGCGTCCTGGGAAGGCCAAAGGGCTCTCCACTGCGTGGCCTATGATTTGCTTAAGGCAGTGGTCGGCAAACTCATTAGTCAACACAGCCAAATATCAACAGTACAACGATTGAAATTTCTTTTGAGAGCCAAATTTTTTAAACTTAAACTATATAGGTAGGTACATTGTTATTAATTAGGGTACTCCTAAGGCTTAGGAAGAGCCACACTCAAGGGGCCAAAGACTGGCTTAAGGTATTACATGACCCCAGTCTAAACTGTGCTCCCAGTGACCTCAAGGGCTGACCTGGCTGTTGTCCCACCTTGTAGCAGAGTGGCAGGTATCAGAGTAGGCATGTGGGAGAGAAGGCAGTCAGGCATCTCCAGTTACAAAGTTTCTAGACCATTTTTTAAAAGTATTTTTTAAATATGTAATTTTTTATTGATTTTATAGGGGGGGGGGAGAGAGAGAGAGAGAGAGAGAGAGAGAGAGAGAGAGAGAGAAAGAGAAAGAGAGACATCAATAAGAGAGAATCATTGATGGGCTGTTTTCTGCACACCCCACACAGGATCAAGCCTGCAACCCAGGCATGTGCCCTGACCAGGAATCGAACCATGACCTCCTCATTCCTAGGTCGGCACTCAACCACTGAGCCATGCTGGCTGGGCTCTAGACCATTTTATCATCCACTATGGACTTGCTCTGGCTCTGTGTGAGAAATTATAGTATCCTCAGTCAGGTGCCTAGGAAGGGGAAAGGCACCTCAGCCTACAAGCACATGCCAGCTGTGTGAGTCCCAGGGATTCATGCCCGTGCTACTCAATCCAGTCTGCCCAGGTTGCGGACATGCCAGCTTGCACTCTTCATAGCCCCCTCTTGCTCCTCCTGTGAGGGCCATCGCATTCAGAGCCAGCGTTAAGCATCCCTGCATCCAGGCTCACCCACAAAAGTAAACAGCTTCTTCAGAAACCCAAACCCTGACTCAACAATCATCTCCTCACCCCTACCCACCCCCGGCTGTGGCCACAAAATTCCCAGAACTAGCTTCTTTTTTCTGTCCCCACAGCCCCTCATTTGGCTCCTCCGTGCCTGCCCTGCTCAAGCGCTCCTTCCTCCCTCTGACCCACAGCGACAAGCCGTCTTACACATTCGCTCCTCTGTCATTTCCGTCCAAGCCTCCCCACCTCATCCTGGAATCTCACACACCCACTTGGTATGTACCTTCGTGGTACTCTTTTTCTGGTCCCCAATCTAATCTCAGAACCGCATTAATTGAACATACCAAGGCTAACGACATTTTGATTGCCCCGAAGCAATTCCCAGTCCTCACACAGTGGTTCCCTTCACTGTCCTCTCCTGCCCAGGCTCACAGTTTATCTCCCCGGAAGTCCTTGGGGACACTCTTGGTGTGGATTTCTGTTCCACACAGCTTTACATGTCATACATGCGCCATGGTGCTGCGCAGACATGCCTGTGGAGCGTGTTTCTTGATGTTTTTAGGGCTTGGTCTTCTCTACTCCCTAATTCCATTTGCTTTTTCCCAGATGTGCATCATATCAACCGTGTCTCACCCCTGCTGACCCGGCCCGGCAGGGGCCCGGCAGGCTGCGGGGAGTTGGAGATGCTGCTGGCACATGGGTCCTGGCAAGAAGGGGACCTGATGGCTTTTATTACCGGGCGCAGATAAAGACTGCTCCAGAGGCAAGTTGTCTCTGCGACAATGGGCGTACTTGGCCCTGTCCCTTCTCTAAACGGCCTCCGTGCATGAGGAACCCCCTGGGTCTGGTTCTAGCCGTGGTTGTGGGGAACCGTGTGCTCCCTGTGGTACTTCCCAACTCCAGATCGTATTCTGAGTGCTTTCTTGCCCACAGCTGGAGAGGCAGGGGGCTCTGCTTGTGGAATTTGAGGCTCCCCTTGTCACGGGCCCAGAGCTGCCAACCCCACGGCAGAGTGTGGTCTTAGGAGAAGATGTCATCCAGTTCTCGCCCCCCGAGGAATACTCACTGCAGCCTGGGGACAAAGTGCTGGCGCCCTGGGAGCTGGACAGACAGCAGTATGGCCCTGCCACTGTTTTGGGCTTGGAGGCAAGAGGCCCCCAGAGAGGTAAGGGAAGCTGCTCTGTCCTACCAGCCCCCAGAAGGAGACAGGCTGGCAATCAGGCCAGAGGAGAGAGCAAAGGGTGTCTCTGTAGCTCAAGGGTCTTACAGGCATTAAAAAAAACAAACAAACCCAAACCCTTGCCCTGGCTGGCTTGCTCAGTGGTTAGAGCCCACAGACTGAAGGGTCTCGGGTTTGATTCCAGTCAAGGGCATGTACCTCGGTTGCAGGCTCCATCCCCAGCCCTGGTTGGGGTGCATGTGGGAGGCAACCAATCCATGTGTCTCTCATATAGATGTTTCTCTTTCTCTGTCCCCCTCCCTCCCTTCCACTCTCTCTTAAACATAAAAAAATAAGTGGGAAAAATATGCTTGGGTAAGGATTAACAGAACACATACACTCAAAACCCTTATTCCCTCACTTGCTGTTTAATCATGGGGGTGGCAACAGATATATAAATCATATCTTTCAGATTAAAAACCATTTTTCAACAGGGTACAAGCGCCTACAGCTACGACGCTCTGTTGGTTAGGGCTGGTGCGATGGGGTTAGCCTGGGTCACACCAGTGCTCCTGGCCTGTCCCCACCAAGCTGTCCAGAGACAGGGACAGTTCCCTTCTATAGGGCTGACCAGTCAGCATCACTGACATTCAGAGAATAAGAGGAGGAGGTTCCTCCTTCCCTTCCCCCACCCGAGGAGGCATTTTGCTTTTGACATGAAAATGGAGACAAGGAGGCGTGGTGGTAAATATGGAGCCTCTAACCCAGTGAGGGATGCTCCCGGCAGGCCCCCCCCCACCACCACCACCAGAAGTGTGCATGGGAGGCAGGCAGAGCAGCGGGGCTGCGCTGAGTTTTGCCTTGGGGGATAGGAGAACCCTTCTCCCATGGCATGGAAGTGGTGGTTGTAATAAAACGTTGCCATTTTCTATTATGCAGCATCCAAAGAAGAAATCACTGTCCTCTTCTGGAACGGCAGGACAGCCACAGTGCCTCGGGGCGGGGCCTGGGGGGTGCCCCCTGCTGTCTGGAAGAAGGCTGTGGAGCGGCTGCACTGGCCTGTCACCAGCAGGCCTCCCACTACCCTCCTCTGGGCCCCTTGCTGCTCTCTGCTGGGGCCGGGCACTGGGTATGTCACCCACGGGCTTCCACTGGGCACCCCGTTCCTGTGCCCTCCCTGCCACCCCCGCGCCTGCTGCCAGCTGCTGTGCCAGGGCTGTCCCGGCTGCTGCCCTTTGGCTGGACCCACCTGGTGGCCTCTCACCAGGACCTCGGGGGCCAAGGCCGGACAACAACCAGAGGCGGAGCTAAAGCCCAAGGTGCAGCCTCTGCCCCTAGAGGCTCCCAAAAAGGAGAAAGTGGCCGTGCAGGCTCCCATGGCTGTTTCTTCCTCCTCCTCCTCCTCTGAAGAGGATTTGGAGAAAGATCTGGAGGCGGGCCTCCCTCAGAGGCTGGTGGTGGACAGCACAGTCATCTCTGACCCCGTCCCTCCTGAGAAGACTCGGAGGAGGCAGGCGGGCCCGGGCCAGCCCGAGTGGAGGTATTGGAGGAGGAACGGGCCTGAGCCGCTTCCTGGGAAGCCAGGTACACCTTCTTCTGAGGCAGGGCCGAGGCCCTTGCTCCTTCCCTCCCACGGGTGTCTTAGGAATCTGAGCCCCTGACCACTAAGCTGGGCTTGGAAGTAAAACTTAGGAGTGTGGTCATGTTGAAGGGGAGTCTGTGGTGAGAGGGAAAGGGTAGGTTTCCATTTAAGCAGTAAAGCCCAGCATGAAAGGACGGGCTGATTTTTATGCAAAGGTTTGCATCCCTATTGAACAACTAACCGTTTGCATCCCTGTTGAACAACTGTCCTTAGTCTCTCCGGACAGGGCATTGCCATTGTCTGTTTTTTTTTTTTTACTGCCCCCCTCCCCCCTCACCCCCCTTTGTCCTTGGAGACCTTGATTTTTCTCCAGATGAAAAGTCAAAATGCCTGCAGGTGTTGATTAGCCTTCAACGCCCTGAGAAGCAGAGAAACTATTTTTTGAACATTGGTCATCGGACCCTCCCCTCCAGAGGGCCCTTTAATAAGTCAGAAGCAGGACACTGCATGATGCGGCTCGATCTCTCCCACTCGAGGGAGGCAGTGCTCTTGCTGGCAATCCACAGCCAGCCCCAGGCCTCCTCATCTTTTTTTTTTTTTTTTTTTTAAATATATTTTATTGACTTTTTACAGAGAGGAAGGGAGGGAGACAGAGAGCCAGAAACATCGATCAGCTGCCTCCTGCACATTTCCCACTGGGGAAGTGCCCGCAACCCAGGTACATGCCCTTGACCGGAATCGAACCTGGGACCTTTCAGTCCGCAAGGCCTCCTCATCTTGAGCTAAGAAGGGGCTCTCCTTTAGGTACTGGGTCACTTGCTGCTCCGGGAAAGGTAATTCTTGGAGCTGAACCATGAGAATCAGTGGACCTGAATTCTGCCAGGGCCCAATCCGCACCCAAAGCTGTGGAGTGTAGGCCTGAGAAGGGGTGTGGAGAAAGGGGCATCCCCAGCCCTAGGCACAGACAGGGTACTACTTACCACAACTTAACTAAACGGTGTGTGCCCAACACCAGAGCTCTTCCTTCTCCCTCCAGACTTTGTATTCTTTAAAGGAAATGTACAGTTTTGTCTCCTAACTGTGCCTGGTAGCCATCAATACTGATGCTGACTGTCAGTCTTCGGCTCCGCCTCAGGATCTGACTCTTACCAATCCTCCTGTATGGGTCCTTCCGCCCTCCACACGTGTTACTTTCAGGTACAGGCAGTGAGGTTCCTGTTTAATCCTAACCTAGCGATCCTGGAAAGGCCAGACTGTTGGCTGCCGGCAGCCACATTGCTCTCCTCCCTTGCTTATGGTTAAAAAACAGGATTCAATCTGTAGTTTTAAAAGTCAGGAGGGGATGGATTTCTTTTCAAGTATTCCTTCCTTTTTAGATATGGCCCTTTTCCTCAGGAAGTCCCAGCCTCCGCCCCACTCAACCTCTGAACTTTCCCCATCAGCTTAGGATCTCCTCTTTGTCATCAGTGTGATTGATAAGCTCCTTCAGCTGGTGGTGATTGGTTACCTTTGCTTCCCCTACTGCAGTGGTTCTCAACCTTGGCTGCACATTAGAATCACCTGGGAATCTTTTTAAAATCCTGATTTCTGGGCCCCATCCTCCAGAAATTCTGTTTCTTTGTAACTAATGTTGTGGCCCCACCCCATAACAAAGAAACAGAATTTCGGGAGGATGAGGCCCAGAAATCAGGATTTTAAAAAGATTCCCAGGTGATTCTAATGTGCAGCCAAGGTTGAAAACCACTGCCCTACTGGCTGTTTTGAAAAATTGGTTTGATAACTTCCATGCAATGCCAAACCCGGTGATCACATACAACCTTCCTCAAAAACATAATAGCCAGAAATGATTAAGAAAATCTATTTCTTCTTTAAATATAGAGAACCGTGCTAGGAGCTTATAGGTAGTGAAGAGATTCTTTGATCCTTGGCAGAGTTGTACTCAAGTCGTCCAGACTAATCCCATCAGAACGGTGGCCTATTCAGCACACCTCATTGAATTTGGGGTTTAGGCAAAAGATGCCACAGCATCCAGAAAGAAGAGAAGGGCCACAAGCAGCAGGGAGCACAAATGGCAGTAGGGGGGAATACCAAGGAGCTGGTCCTGGAAGCAACCAATGCAAAGCCTCTACACACCCTGCCAGACACAGCGGAACACGGGAAACTGAGTCAGGGGACCACTGTGATGCGTCAGAAACACCGAATGCCTTCGACTAAAAGCCCTGAGGATCTAGGTAAAGCAGCATGGCAGGGAAGGGGCTGCTTCCTTTCTTGTGTGTTTTGTTGTTTTCAGTTTCAGTTTACATTCAATATTATATTAGTTTCAGTTGTACAGCACAGTGGTTAGACAATTATATAATTTCCGAAGGGACCCCCCAATAAGTCTAGTGCTCACTGGCACCATACATAGTTATTACAATATTATTGTCTATATTCCCTATGCTGTACTTTATGTCCCCATGACTATTTTGTAACTATCTTGTTTGCACTTCTGAATTTCTTGGGAAGGGGCTTCTTAAGGACTCCTTCCAAGGTTCTTTGACCTCTTGGGGGTCACATCCCCTTTCAAAATAAAACCCATGGCTCCCCTTTCCAGAAAAATGCACATACCCACAATTTAAAAAAATGTTTTTATTGCTTTTAGAGAAAGGGAAAGAAACATTGATGTGAGAGAGAAATATCAATCGGTTGCCTCCTGTATGCATCCCAACCAGGGATTGAATCTGCAATCTGGGTATGTGCCCTGACCAGGAATTGAACCGTTAACCTTTCAGTGCATGGGATGACACTCAACCAAGCCACACTGGCCAGGGCACCCAGAATCCTATCTAATAATAGACAAACATGGTAATTAACCGTACCTCTGACACGCTTCCCATTGGCTAATCAGGGCGATATGCAAATTAACTGCCAACCAAGATGGCGGCCAGCAGCCAGGCAGCTGAAGCGAACAGGAGGCTTGCTTGCTCCAGTGATGGAGGAAGCCAAGGTTCCCCGCCTGCCACTGCCGGCCTCTGAGCTGCACTCTATGAAACAATGTTGCAGTTATAGAAGCTAAACAAACCCAAGAAACCTGCTTCCAGCCAGCCAGGCCTCAGAGCTGGAGCTGCAACAGTGTTTCAATTATAGAAGCCAAACAAACCCAGATACTTGCTTTCAGCAGCCGAGGTCTTAGAGCTAGAGCCAAGCCTCAGAGCTAAAGCCGGCTCTCAGTTCCAGTGACAGCCATAGAAGGTAAATAAATCCCAGAATAAAAAGAAAAAAGAAAAAAGGAGAGGTTGGGAGTTTCAGTCACCCGCCAGCCTGAAAACGGCCCTCAGCCCCTCACCCAGACCGGCCAGGTACCCCAGTGGGGACCCCCACCCTGAAGGGGGTGCGACCAGCTGCAAACAGCCATCATCCCCTCATCCAAGCTGGCCAGGCACCCAAGTGGGACCTCCACCCTGATCCGGGACACCCTTCAGGGCAAACCAGCCGGCCCCCACCCGTGCACCAGGCCTCTATCCTATATAGTAAAAGGGTAATATGCAAACTGACCCTAACAGCAGAAGGACTGGGAATGACTGGTCACTATGACACACACTGACCACCAGGGGGCAGACACTCAATGCAGGAGCTGCCCTCTGGTGGTCAGGGTGCTCTCACATGGGAGGAGCTCTGCTCAGCCATAAGCCAGGCTGATGGCTGCCAGTACAGCAGCGCTAAGGATGTCCGACTGCAGTTTAGGCCTGCTCCCCGCTGCAAGTGGACATCCCCCGAGGGCTGCCGGGCTGCCAGAGGGACATCTGATTGCCATCTTAGGCCCAATCCCCCGGGGAGCGGGCCTAAGCCAACAGGTGGTCACCCCCTGAGGGGTCCCAGACAGCGAGAGGGCACAGGATGGGCTGAGGGCCCCCCCACCCAGAGTGCACAAATTTTTGTGCACCAGGCCTCTAGTTCTAAATAAGAGAGGAATATGCTAATTAGTCCAGATATACTAATTAGTCATGACCAGTATGCAAATAGACCATCACTCCAACACACAAGATGGCTGCCCCCATGTGGCCACAAGATGGCCTGCAGGGGAGGGCAGTTGGGGGTGACCAGGGATCGGGCCTAAATGGGCAGTCAGACATCCCTCTTGGGATCCCAGATTGGAGAGGCTGCAGGCTGGGCTGAGGGACACCCCCTCCTAACCCAGTGCACGAATTTCGTCCACTGGGCCTCAAATTTGCATATAATTTCAAAAGGCTTACAGAACCTACAGAGGACATTATAAACTTCTTGGGGGTGCAAGGATCTCCATTTAAATGACCCCTTATTTGGTGAAGGGCATGGGTCTGCTTTCCTAGGCCCCATGTCCCTGGGAGTCTGTTTCTCACTAGGAATGCTAACATAGCTCTACTTAAAATTTCGATTACATAAAATGCTGGCATTTTTTCCTGAGGAAAGACATGTTCAAAATGAGATGAATAATTAAACTGAAAGGTGCAATAATACTGTTGGTGTGGTCGCTTAAAAGTTAAGGACACATCTATGACTCTTTAAAATCAGTGACTTTTGATCCTTAAAATTACAGTCAGCATACGACCCTCAGGATTCTTTCTCTTATAGGAAGCAAAGGAGAGTGAATACCTGAGGAGGAGTTACAAAGTGGCTGGCACAGCCTTCAGGGGTAGAGTGCAGGCCACAGACGACAGTCGCATAAGCAGCAGCATCTTCACCCCTTTAAGACTTCCCTGCAGACGGGCACAGGAAGGCACCTGTCGTAAGAGCCACAGGAGTGCTGCCGGCCTGGCCAGGTCTCCCTGCCTGGTGAGATGAGCGTGAGAATGCTGTTCCACAGAAGTCACAGGTCACGGTCAGCCTGTTTTGGGCAAGTGTATCCATAGCCTCTCTGCCACCTTTTCATAAAGCCTACAGTTGTACATGAATGACATTTTGTTTGTTGCTCTTAATACCAATAAAAAGGAATTCTCTTTATTTATAAATCTCTCCTTTTATTATCATAATTATCCTTTAGTTGGAAAGCAAGCAATAAAAACTATTCATTATTACTTTTAGGCAGAAGAGGGTAAGAGGTTAAAAACTTTTGAGGTTAAAATAGGAACTGAAAGAGACAAGCTCCAGGTCTCAGGAAGGCTGGCCTTAAGAGCAGGATTGATGTACAAATATTAACAGAATCATATGTGGCTTTATTCTCCTTGCTACTTAAAAAAAGGCAACGTGATGGTCAACATCAGATGGGGAAAACCAAGTCCACACTTTGTCCTGAATCAACAACCACCACATGAGTCTTCTTGGTTAAGTCATTTGCACCCACAGTGACAGAATAGGTCCCTGGATATACTTCTATGTAGAGGTCCTTAGAGATGTTCTCAGCCTGGAAGAAAAGAGGATATTAGCGGGTTAGAGATTTTATATCCCAATGCCAGGCACCTCCACCAGGCTTCCTTTGTGTGCTAGAGGCCGGATGGAAGAAAGCATTCCTGTGGGAGATGGAGGTTCCATTTTCAAGTCTCAGCCACACAGTAGGACTATCCTTTAGGTAAGTCTCAGTGTCTCCTTAGGCTTGTTTCCTTTTTCTAAGACTTTGGTAATACCTACCTCACAAGTGTTCTAGGAACATGAGTCATAAAAGGAACACTAGCTGGAGTAGAAAGATAAGAATTGGGTAGAGGAAAAGACTAAGGACATTGTTTTGGGGATCAAAAGCAGACAGTGGCACTTGTCACAGATGAGCAGTAATGGCAAGGCACCTTGGAGTGATGAGAATCATTCTTTTTTTTTTTAATTGATTTTTTACAGAGAGGAAGGGAGAGGGATAGAGAGTTAGAAACATCAATGAGAGAGAAACATCGATCAGCTGCCTCTTGCACCCCCCACACTGGGGTTGTGCCTGCAACCAAGGCACATGCCCTTGGCTGGAATCGAACCTGGGACCTTTCAGTCCGCAGGCCGACGCTCTATCCACTGAGCCAAACCGGTCAGGGCGAGAATCATTCTTTTTCATTATTCGGACAGTGAGACATTTCCTTTCTCCTAAAGCTGGGAACACTACGAGTAGATTCCTTCCTGTCATGCAGCAAGTCAGTTGGCTGGCAGAGCCCTCCCTGGACAGACTGGTTCTACCTGGTGCAAGAACCCTGGAGGCTGGAGTAAAGGGAAAGCTTTATGTTTGAAGCTGAGCTGAGCACAAACCTCCAATGACAGACTTCATGCAAGGCAGGGAAGTGGGTCACGGCAGGTGTGCAGGCAGCGGGGTCTTAGCTCAGAACAGAGCCGTCATTAAGAGTCCGGTTCCTATTCCTCAGCCGGGATGCCACTCATGCTCAATCAGTGCTCAGAAGGAGCCGCAGGCAGAGCTGTCATTCCCACCACCACACTCGGTGGGGGAAACCAAGCCCTAGCCAGCAGATTCCACTAGGAGGATAAATGACAATTTGTATACATCCTCCCCCTCCACATGACAGACAGATCTGAAGCCAATTTTTTCCAAAGCTGCTTTATGTTATATCCTTTCATGTTTACCCCAGTTACTGAAAAATCAGGGGCCTATAATCATTTAACTGATGTGAATGTATGGGACAACACCACAACTATTTATTGGTTATCAACTATGTAAATAAAAGTAGGTTTCAGAAAATACAGCTGTATCAGAACTGCAGAAAGCCAAGGATGCCTCGTTTGTCTGGATAAAGGAAACCGGGGGGTAAGATCGGCATCTGTGCTTCCCACACCGTGAACATCTGGAAGATTAGAGATACCAAAAGCCAGCAGGTTCTGGAGGCATCCAAGCCTAACCGCATGCATTTGTACTAGAAGCAGAATATGCGTAGCTGCTAAACTCTAGTATATTCTGAATCCCGTCTAGCACACTGTAGACAGACAAAAACTAAGCAAATGATGGCAGCAGCATGCTGGGGTTCCTTCCCTCAGAATTCCAGCCCTGGCCAGTTCCAGATTTCCTGAGTTTATAAACTAATGAGCACTTTATCCTAAACATGAGAAACTTGTCCCTATATGTTTTTACAGAGAAACATTAGTGGAAAATAGGAACAAGTCCCTTCAAATGTTTTGGAACCCAATCTAACCAAGTGTATATGTTTCAGGATTGTAGTGATGGTATTCGCTTTGTAAGCAGAGGGGTCAGGCCGCTCCTGCTGCTCCAACAGATGGTGGAATTCCAGCAGGACCCGCCAGCCCAGCTGAGCTGTAGGAACTGAGATGTGAATACTTCGCATTCTTTTCGACCACAACTATGAGTCCAGGCACAGAGCACCCCTGAAGCTTCCAGTGTGGGAAGGCTACCAAGGAAACATTTTACACTGAACCACAATGTGTGCACTCCCCACAAGGATAAAAACATCCCAACATGAAAATACTGCAGGCCCAGCACAAAGAGCTCTAGAGTCACCAGGTCAACTGGTTCATGAAATGGCCGTGTGGGGAGGCCAGCGGGGACACCAGGAGCTCCGTACTCACAGGCTGGGGTGCCTCTAGCGTACACTCTGTGGCTGGACAGACGCCTCTAAAACCCAGGGGCGTTTCTTGTCTCTGGAGAAACAAACAGAAACATCAGTGCCCAGACTCTGACTTCTGGATAATAAAGAGAAATCTTCTCCTACCTTAAGAGGAACTAACCATTGTTCCATCCATTTTTCTAAGTTGTCACCTACATTATTAAGGCTTTTAGTGAATCCTGTGGGGGCATTTTTAGATGTTCACCATGATTATTTTTTATCTCCCTTGGTCTGTGGAGTCAGATAAACCTGAGTTTGAGTCCTGTGTCTGCTCTTTGCTGAGAAGGGCAGAATAATTTATCTCAGCCTTGCTTTCCTCATCAATAACATGGGGGCACTCAATTGCAAGGAAGATTTAAAGTGTAGAAGTGCCTGACACTTAACAGGCTCTCAGAAAATAGACTATTTACTGCTTGTCTTGGGAGTGGGGGAGCTAGTAGGGAACAGACTGACCTGATAAAGTCAATTTCTCACATTTATAGGAAAGAATGGGAGGGACAGGAATGACTCTCGCTCACATGTGACCCCCTTAGCGTCAGGCCAGAAAAGGGGAGCCAGGGCTTGAGCTGAGGTGTTACTCCTCATATCCCAGGCCGGGAAACAAGAGGGACTTCCAGCATGCATCCAGCTCTCACTCGTATCCCTGTGGCCACGCTTCCATCCTTTCCCTGAACCCACCGGCCAGGGAAGTCAGAGATCCAACTGTGGATTGGACTCTGGATTTAAGTTCAGTATCTTTGAGTACAATTAGGAGTTTAAAAACAAAAACAAAACCATCTACTCTCCTCAAAAACAACAACGAAGGATTTCTGTTGAATCAGTTTCACAAGTAGAATATTCGTCTCTCCCAGAATGACATGTGGTAAAAACAAGCAAGTTTGTAGTGAGAGGCCTGTGATATTATCTTTAGGAAAAGTGCTTTGTTACAAAGACGTCCTCTTTGCACTTTCTTTTTTAAAGTTACCAAAGACATGATAGGTGTCACTAGCTTAAGAGTAAAAATATGTGCTCATGAAAAATCTCCTTCTTATCCCTACATGTAGAAGAGGATATCTGAAGCTCTTCTCATTAACCTGCCCAGGAATCCCGTGGCCCAGGATTGCAGTTTCATCGGAAGATCCCACGGTGGCATCAGTCTTATATTTTGGACATGTTCATGGCTGTAAGTTCTCCAAGACTGGGGTTTGAAACATTTCTGTTGAGCACTGTAATGCTGAGTCACACAGGCATCCAACAATATACATCCAGCAGGAGCTCCCAGACCTGGGGTCTCCCACCTTGGGAAGCTGGGTGCATAGCACAGGACATGAGGATACACACCTGGCCATTCCCAAGGTCCGAGCACAAGTCCAGCTGTGACTTCCCTCTGTGATAACGATAGACGTGGGTTGCCCCTTCTTCTGGCACAGATGAATAATATTTCTGGAGAAGTAACATGAAAGATGTTGGGTAACCAAATAGATAAATTTTCAAGAAACTGTTACTTGGGCAAAATATGGTTAAGAAGGGAGACAAAAGAGCAAAGATAAGTTACCTGCCTGCTCGACAGGCCTCTGAGGTCATCTAACAAATCTTAGCCCATGCAAAGTGGCTGCAGAGAAGGAAACTGCGTTTGGCATCACTTTGCTGCCATCTGCTGCCTCTGTTGGGCAAGAGCTCTGGCCAACTAAAGCTGGGCAGGGCCCTGCTCTCTGCCAGCTTAAATAATTTTCTTATCTGCGCCCCCATGTCAAATACACATGCCCTTTCACCTCCTCTCATGACAAGTTCTAATGAACAGTTCTGTGTTTATTGTCTAAGTCTCAGACAAGGATGAGGGAAGAGAGGAGTGCTGAGATGTGGAAATACAACAGGGAATGTAACATAAACCCAAGAGCAATGCAGTCAGTTTTCCCCTGTGGAGGAAAGGAGGGTGAGGTCTCTAATTTAAGGAGGATAATCCAAAGGATCAGGAAGCCATTACATTTTTCTTGTCTACTTCCTTTCCCCCCTTGAAGTTAACCTTAGATGTGCCCCTGATTGTGACTAATGATGAGGACATCACTGGCCTGCTTGTTTTGAACACAGTGTAGGGTCAGCGTTTAAGGCATGAGCCCAAAAGAATGAGAAGCAGGGGAAAGGGCTTCAAGACGTGGGTCTAATGAGGTACCTTAGGGGCTGCTTCAACACTGTGAAGGCAAACTCAGAATACTGTTCTGAATTCTATCTCGAAGAGCCAAAGGGTTCTGAGGCTCCATTCCATAACGGATACTTGAACTGAAAACCACAATGAAGAACACCAATTTGCTAAACCTCAAACCAAAGACAAATATTATTCCTTTTACTGAGCCATGAACCCAAGTTTAAGTTGGTCACTTTACAGTAGAGCCCAAGTTATGAATTTTTCTAAAACCATTTAACAGAATAAGGACATAAAAATATTCTCTGAACTATATCTCATTGGCTGGAATCCTGTTCTTGGGAGTCACAGGGATTTTATACAAGATGTAGAAAGATTAGTGATTTTTTTGGAATCTTAACATATTAAATTGAAAAGCAGGACAGAAACAAGGTATTCTCTTCCTTCTCCCTTTCAGACCAGCATCCTTACAACCACATTGGAATCATAAAGAAGTTAAGGGTGGAAGAGACCCAGCATCTGTTGTAATTCTCAGATGATAAAGACTGCCTTCCATGCAGGTGATTTCCTTGAATGCTGGCTGGCCTGCCTCCACCATTCCCTCAAAGTACTTAAAGATGACGTTAGTATAATATATCTTTGAGAAGAGGGTCTTAAAAACCCTTGGTCCGCCATTTCAATGAATGGTACCAAAAATCCTAAGTCCCTCATGCTACAGTTTATGAAATTTCTGATGTTCATCTCTCAGTGGAAACCAAGAAAGAAACTGTAAAGGCTGGCAAGGATTTGAGAGACCATTTTTTCCACGGGGAAGGGAAGGGTGAGAGCGACTAACTGGCCGAAGGCATTAGTCAGTATGTGGCAGAACCTGGATATGACTCCTGGGAGGCTGCTCCTGCCATTAAGCCCCACCTCTTCCGATGAGGGAGCTGCATCTGTTCACAGAACCACCTTTGTGGCCATCAAGCGATACAGACCACAGGGGCCTACTTGACGACGACATTACCAGGCACTTGAAACAGAGGTTAAATTCCTAATGTAGGGATTTTGTTTCAATACATTTTGAAAACAGAGGCTCAGTTCCAGTTTATAGTGACCCTACTGATTTTTTTTAAGACTCCATGTCAGTTAAAAGTATTAAAAACGGCAAATCGTTGGATTTGATTGTTTTAGAATTCAGCAAATAAGCTTTTCCCCTCCTACTAGTCTGAAACAATAGTGAGAGCAGAGACCTTTTTTGACTTGTTCACCGCTGTATCCTCAATAACAATTCCTGAATTAGGCATTCAAACAAATAGTTGTTGAATGAATTCTAACATGGATTTACCGCCTGGTTTAAATCCTTGAGTGATTACAATCCGCCCACAAAGACGGGGCAGTGTGAACTGGCAGTCTCCAGATTCTCCCTAAATTCCACGAAGACCCACTCTGTGATCCATCAGCAGGCAGAACGGGGCATGGCCTCAGCTTACACCAACTTACCCCACACTGACTTGAAGTATAGTCCATGAACTCCGCCATCGTTCTGAAAGAAGCACTGAGGGTTGGGCATCTTTCTTCTCTCTGTGTGAATAAATGGCAAGTCACAGGTGAGGTCTGGTATTCCCTCCAGGAGAGTCAAGTCATTTAGGAAACAGCTTCCTTTTTACTTTGTGAAAGGCTTAGAAACTTTAAGTCAGGAAGAAGGATCTTACTGAGAAAGAATTCCAACTCCACAAGGAATCCACTGACATGCAATTTACCCAGGACAAAGACTGGTTTGCGGGCTTTCTTCTAATATCAGATGGTAGCAAGTAAAGATTTTTTAATAAAGTAACTAACCAGGGCTGAGCAGCATCCTAAAGCTACCCGATAATGATCTGTCAAATGTGGCGAGTTTTCAAAGGGCTTTCCCGTTCGTGTCCTGACACTTCACAGCTTTTGCCAAGAGCAAGATCCCTCAGCTGCTTCCGCGTGGCCCGTGCCCCGGGCCCAGCGGGCCACCGCCGAGCGAATGAATGGGCTGGTCCCCCCGGCACAGGGGCCCTCACCTCTCCGGGGAGAAGGCGCTGGGGGCCGGCCGCGGGCCATCTTTCTCGGTAGGGCCGCTCCGGGAAAATGCCCCCCACGTTGCTTTTGGCCAGAGAATGCCAGTCCACTGCCCTCCTCTTAGCCCGCTCCAGCACTTCTTGACCCAGCCTAGCCGAGCGCTGCAGGGAACGCCGGTCCATCCCGTTCAGCGCCGCGACAGCCAAATAGTTCTCCATGTCTACCTAAGCGGGTACATACACACACACAAGGGCGGGTCAGCCTGCTGCGGCGACCCGGCTCCAGATCCGGGTCGGAGCCGGGGCCTCAACCTCCCCAGCGACCAGCGCTCCCAGCTCCGCCCCCCACGCGTTAGCCAGCGGCTGCCGGGTCAGGGCGAGCGGGTGCGCGCAGACCCCGTCCATTTCCGTGTCCCCCTGCCCTCATAGGAAGCCCTCACCCAGCCCATCTCTCAAGGCGCATGCGCACCACGCTTGGGCGGGCGGGGGGCGGGGCCTGGAGCACTCAGCGCCGGCGCAGCAGGAGGGTGAAGGAGGCGGGGCGGAGCGCTGGGTCGCAGGCCATTGGAGGGTGTCGAGAGGCGGGCCGCGCGTTCTACGCCGGACACGCCTCCTGCGTACGGTCCGCCGCGGCCCCTGCGTGGGGTAGCGGAGCAAGAGGCAGAGCGCTGTTGGCGTGCGGGGCGCGATGGTCGATGTAACCTGCAGCCAGGGCGGCCGGTGGGCGCTGTCGGGGGAGACCCGTGGGCCTGGGGCCTGGCCCTTGGAAGTCATCTCCGCTGTTTAACGTGATGAATGAACTTGGTCCCAAGTCAGGTGGTCTCCTGTTGGGCTGAGAAATTGTGGGAATAAGGCTCGTGCGTCCGGTTTCCTCTTTCTGCCAGGTCAATATTTTGGGATATCGCTACTTCTCTTTGAAGAGATGGCTAGGACAGACGGAACAGTACGGCTGCCAAGGTGGCCTTTGGAGAAGGGAGTCTGGCCAGCGGGCTGTGGACGGGTGTGGAGGTAGGGGGGAACGGTCAGCCTTTAGAAGGCAGGTATTTCTGGCCCACAGCCAGAGGGCGCCTGAGTTGTGTAGGGCAGTGGTTCTCAACCTTCCTAATGCCGCGACCCCTTAATACAGTTCCTCATGTTGTGGTGACCCCCAATTTCATTGTTACAAATTAAACATAATTAAAGCATAGTGATTAATCACAAAACAATATGTAATTATATATGTGTTTTCCGATGGTCTTAGGCGACCCCTGTGAAAGGGTCGTTGGACCCCCAAAGGGGTCGCGACCCACAGGTTGAGAACCGCTAGTGTAGGGTAATCTTAATCCTGGAGTGGCAGCTTCCTCACCCTTCCAGTGGAAAGTATGGACTCACACATTTGTGTGAGTTAAACCCACCTTTTAAGAATAGTTGAACCACGTGCATGTAAGGAATTGTGCATTGTTACCTTCTATATCATTCCATTCGGATATTTGATAGATGCAGCCCAAGGCCTCGCTGTTAATTATTAGTGATTCCCCCCCGCGTGCAGCAAAGCATTTATGCTCAGAGGGACCACTTTAAGAGACACGGAAATCAAATGCTCACCTGGGCTTCTCAACCGATGGCTTCACTAGCAGTTCTGAGCTATACCACCTATGTATCAGGATTCATACGCATTTTTGCTCATTTTCTGCTTTCCTCTCAAAAAGTTGACAACTGGGTTTAAATTATGGCCCTGTCACTTTTGCTGTGTGATTCAGGGTAAACAAATTATTTAAATCCTTTGAACCTCACTTTTATCCATACTTGGGGATACCAATAGTACCAACCTATCTAGATTGTAAGCTTCTTGAAGGGACCATATTTGTCTTCTTTAAGGCGCATCTAGTATTTTATCTGTCACAGAAGGGGCTAAAAATAGCTATTGTGGATTGGGTGGCTGTGAGAATTCTGTGAAATTCCTGTAAAATGCTTAGCACAATGCCTTGCAAAGAATAGGTGCTTCATAAATTTAGTTAGAATTAATATGTACCAGGCACTGTCCTAGGAGTGTGGAGAATGGAAAATGGATCAGACTAAAGAAAAATAAGAAAAAACAAAACATAAAATCTGTAGTGTCGGGAACAAAATGTGACTTGTCATAAGATTGAAACAGATAAAGTGATATGAAGCCCAGAGGAGAAAGAGATTGTGTTTGGTTGGTGGGATCAAAGAAGGCTTTGTGGAGAAGGAATAATTTCACATAGACCTTGAAGGATGGCCTAGGAATTAATGAGAAAGGGGGTAGCTGAGATACCTATTAACTGCTTTTGTAATGAATGTGGTTAGGGATGAGATCATTTTTTTATTATTATTACTTATGGACTTCAAGATCCTGGCGCCATAAATTTTAGCTCCGTCTGTGTAACCATGAACAGGTTACTTAACTGTTGTATATCTCAGTTTTGTTATCTATAAAATGGGAATGATAGTAAATTCCTCAGAGGGTTGTTGTGCAGATCAAATAAGTTAATAATTGTAAAGTGTGTTGAATAGTATTTGGCATAAAGTAAGTGCTCAATGGGTATTAGCTAGCATTATTAACTTAATCAGACTGCGTGCTGGCTCCCAGTATGCCCTCACATGATTCTACAGCCATATCTCACCTCACTTGGCTCTTCCCCAGGATTCTGTTGCTACCTACTTACCCTATTTTGGTTCAGTTGAAGCATTACTTCCTTGTCAAAGCAACTCTTTGAAATCTTCAGTTATTCCTGAGTTGCAATCTCTGTTTACGTAGCTATAAAAAATATATACATTGTGGTACTTACTTCACTTGATCTGATTTAAATTATATGTACTTGTAATTCATTCTCTCTCAACTGCTATGGGACTCCTCAAAGGTGGAAACTGTACCCTAGGTGTCCCTAAATATCCAGGGCCTGTTAATTAGTGGGTATTCGATAGACATTGTTGAATAGACTGATTTAATTTTTAATTTATTTTTTTTAAAATATATTTTATTGATTTTTTACAGATAGGAAGGGAGAGGGATAGAGAGTTAGAAACATCGATGAGAGAGAAACATTGATCAGCCGCCTCCTGCACACCTCCTACTGGGGATGTGCCCGCAACCGAGGTACGTGCCCTTGACCGGAATCGAACCTGGGACCCTTCAGTCCGCAGGCAGACACTCTATCCACTGAGCCAAACCGGTTTGGCTGATTTAATTTTTAATTTAAATAGATCCCTGTTAAGGGGAAAAAAGGAGACATATGTAATACTTTCAACAATAAAGAATAAAAAAATAGACCCATTAGGCCAGATAAGTGTTGGCTATAAAAAAATAAAATCTACCTACATGTACTTTAAAGAATGTAATGAATATTCAGTTACAACTAATTTTCCCAGAATTTAATATTTAGAAATATGTAGGAAAGGAGATGCTTAGAATGAAATCAAAGCCTAAAAACTAACACTAAATTTTGGCATTTATTTTTATACTTATAAGTATATTTACATATGCATACATCTATATATATAAAAGGCTAATATGCTAAGTGTCTGACTGTTCGACTGTTAGCTATGATGCGCACTGACCACCAGGGGCAGACACTCAATGCACAGGCATGGAAACATGGAACAGACTGATGAATCTCAGAGGGGAGAGGGCAGGGGAGAGGGTGGGAAGAGATTAACACGTTACGTGCCAAGCCTGTTTTGTCTTCCTTTCCATTTAGCCCGCGATATCCGAGTTCACCGATATGCTGGCAGCACCAGTGACTGACCGGTCCGGATGGAAAGTGTAGTGTCAGTCACCAGTGACTGACATGGTGCTTAATGTGTTAACCAAAGATCTTATATGCATACTAGAGGCCTGGTGCACGAATTCATGCACCGGTAGGGTCCCTCGTCCTGGCCTGTGGGAACCGGGCTGAAACAGGCAATCTGACATCCCTCATGAGGTCCCGGATTTCAGAGGGCGCATGCCAGGCCGAGGGACCCCACCAGTGCTTGCACAGGGCCTCTAGTGGCTTTATAATTTCAAGATTTATACTGTAAACCACAGATTGAGAGAGTCATTTTTTTTCTTTTTAAAAAATTGAGTGGAAATAAGATTGATGGAACATGACCTACCATCGGGGCCCATGCCGGTCAAACACATCCAAGCCAGGTACTTGAGAAAGCCAGCAGTGAGACTTGGAAATGGAGCAGAAACCAGAGGAAGGGCAAATGCTCAGGAATGTGCCTGATTATCAACAGAGAGAGCAACTGTTGGTGTTAGTCTTTCATGATTTCTCACTTCATGAGGGTAAATTCATTACAGAGAACACATAGAAGTTACATGTTCTGGGGGCTAGATGAGTTGGAGGAAGTCTTTATTCCTGAGAGCTGAGGAAGGAGATTGGTGCTGTATATTCTGGGGACATGTTAAGGAGAAAAAAACAAGTCTAGTGAAGCACAATGTAAATTATTTTTTGTCTGTGTGAAGGGAGCAAAAAAAGGGTTAAAAACTTAGGATGCAAAAGTGGGTATCATGCCTGAGTTAGACAATGATTTATACTGTACATACCAGAGAATGTATAAATTATCTCATTTGACAGGTGGTATTTTTATTTCTTCAGAAGACTTAGGAGCTTTAGGATTATTACAGCTTTGTAAAGTAGTATTATAGTATGAGTCATCAGATCATTCATTTTGCCTGATTACATCAACTCATTGGGTTATTGGGGAATGAAAGAAACTCATGATCAAAATTGCCAACTTGATTATACAGATCAGTGGTTCTCAACCTTCCTAATGCCGCGACCCTTTAATACAGTTCCTCATGTTGTGGTGACCCCC